GAGCCCTGGCCCAGGCTGCCCAGGGGGGCTGTGGAGTCTCCTTCTCTGGAGATCTTCAACCCCCGCCTGGACGCTGTCCTGTGCCCCCTGCTCTGGGTGAGCCTGCTTGAGCAGGGGGGTGGGACTGGGTGAGCTCCCGAGGGCCCTGCCAACCCCTGCCATGCTGGGATTCTGGGATTCTGTGAAAAGAAACAATAGCAAGCTTTGTTTTGTAGTATGGTATTGGCTTCTCCTATCCCAGCATCCCAGCTATCCCCCGATGGATGTGAAAAGCCTCTCTTCAGTGATTGCTATTTGACACCTTGACGGTACTTGCAACCTCACCAGCAGTGTTGAGGTCCTGCTGGTTGAACTACCATGGCTAAGGAGAGTAGGTCCCCTGACAGCCAGCCAAGGTCTGTCTTGAGTAAGAACGTAGGCAGTGCCCTCAAGCAGTGGGCTTGGGAGGCTGTGCTTTTGCAGCTGAGGGTCGGAAGGGGTTGCATGGTGTACTCAGCGTGTGTGTGTGTTGTGTTGGGGATACTGAGAAGTCAATCCGGGTGAAAAAAGACAGTTACGACACAAGACAGGCTGGCTGTTGTACCTGAAGATACCTTTTTGCTAAAAAGGGAACTGTCCTACCCAGGTTTTCCCATTTGCCCACAGGGTTTCAATTCCACGTGATCTGATCTTGATCATGCCACTTTTCTTTGGCAGCTCAGAAAATATGGTTTAAATGTTCTTGCAAGTAAATAAAGACGGCTGATATTTTGAAATCTGAAAACTCAGTTAAACCCTTGAGCAAAGGTAGCTTAACTGCCTGACTGTATTGGAGCTTGTATGAAGGCATGTCCAGAGAGTTGGAACAGGGCAAGAAACCAATATGTTAATTAATCTCTGCAGTACCATCGGCCTTCTCTGCTTCCCTCTGTAGAGGTATATTCACAGTGGAAGAGCTAACATGTCCACTCTGGCATTTTTAAAAATTGAGTGATACTGCTGATTGAAAAAGATCTTTATTTAAAACTTCCTATCTTTCACTTTAAAAATATGTTTTCTTAATGTCATGTATTCTTAAATTAAAGGTTAATGCAAAAAAAAAAAAAAAAAGGTTTTTTCCTTCCTCAGAGAGATTTCTGACAGAAAGCTGAAAATCTTATTTAACAAGTGGTGATGCACATAAGTGGGAAAGGGATCTTTTCTTTAAAAAAAATGTTTTGTAGGAATAGAAACCCCAGAGCTAGAAATACGCATGAAGTGGTTTTGGTGTTTTGTTTTTTTTTTTTTTCTTACCTTGGAAATCGCTTTCTAGAGTTGAATAACAAGAATTAGTACTAAGGATCACACGATTCATTGGCCTCCATCGTAGGACACTGCTGATCTCTCTCTCGGCTTCCCTTGGTGTAGGTATGGTTTTACCAGACTGAATTTGGAATTTGAAAATGGAAAAGCTAGAAATTCTGATCCTGTAAAGTATTTAAAAACTACCCTTCCAGCTGTAATGTACACGATTCGTTTTTGAAAGCAATCACAATCGGTAAAATTGAATTAATGTCTTTGTAACCATGATGATCCTGGTAAGACTTCCCTTCCCATAGCCTGGTGATTTCCAGTCACCTTTATTTGGGCACACATACCAATTTGCCTGCAAAGTACGACATTCCTTGGAGGGTGTGTATTTACTACATAGCTGCAGAGCAGCAATGAACTTTTTTTTTTCTTTTTCAACCTGTCTAGCACTTCTCAGACCCTCACAGATCCCCAGGCTGCAAGTTGAAAACCACTGATCTAAACTTCTAAACCAATAAATGCTTCCTTATTAGCACGGGTAGTGCATAGAGTAATTCCGAGAAATTTAGTTTACTTTGTGCTTATTGATATTTGAATGGTACCTAATTCAAATTATTTTTTAAAATATTCTCTTACTGTAATATACTCTTGCTCTATTTTTTCTTGCACAGTGGCCTCCCAAACAATTGAACTTGGGCTCCCCGACTGTGAACTTCCACCAAAAGTAGCAATTATAGCTTTCAACTCTGTAGAATCAATCGCAGCAAAGCATTCAGTTATGCTGGGTTTTCATGTTGTGGTCAAGGATTAAATACAACCCATTTATCATTAGCTTGCTTATGAGGTGTGCTTTAAGCTGACCTTGTAGGGCTTCTCTATCTCCACGTTGCGTGATCCTCGAGCCTTCAGAGATCTTGTTTGATGTCGTACAGGTGGACATAACGTGATCAGTAAGGTGTTGACAAAGCTGATTTTAAACATGGGGAATTAAATCCCCTTTCTGGTCAGCACTGTCAGCCTTCAGTTCCCATCTCTTGTTTCATTTTCCCCGGGGCTCTTGAGCTATCTCTGCTTTCCATATTGCACGATTATTTTCTTCCTTGCCACTGCATTAGTTTTAATTTCATGGACTCGGAGTTTACTTGGAAAATGGGGTTGGGGGAGGGTATGTGCATTTTGGTTTTCTTCCATCTCTCTTATGACGTTTCCTTGTGTGTTTGTGTGTGTGGTGTAAGTTTGAGGTCAGAAATGAAGATGTATCGGTGTTTCTCACTTGATTCCAACTTCTCGCCCAAGTGTTTATAAGCTTTGGGCCAGATCTCAGTTCTTGTTTCCTACCTTTCCCCATGGTGATAAGAGGCAACTATATAATGCAAAGAGTTGTCTTAATTCTACTCTCACATATTGAATGGTGATATATAGTACACGTCAGTTCATTGTATGTCAGTCCTTTGCATATTTTTTTCTTTGTAGCCTTGTGACCCCTCATCTCGGTCAAGTTATTTTCAGACCCTCTAAAGCAGAGTTTTCAAGGTATCTCTCTGCCGATGCACTGTTGGTTTACCTTTTCATGCTGTGATTGAGAGTTATGGGATTGAATCCTGGAAACTCTGCACTTGGTTGCATCGGGAGAGAGCGGCATGCTGCATCCAGGCTGTTTGGCTGTGCCTTGAAGGGTCAACATGCTCAGCATTAGTTGGAGGTTTCTGCACTGGGACTCACCTGTAGCGAAGTCATAGAATCATGGAATGTTTTGGGTTGGAAGGGACCCCCAGAGGTCACCCAGCCCAACCCCCTGCAGGAGCAGGGACACCTTGAACCAGACCAGGTTGCTCACAGCCCTGTCCAACCTGGCCTGGAATGCTCCCAGGGATGGGGCCTCCACCCCCTCTCTGGGCAACCCCTGCCAGAGTTTCACCACCTGAGGCCTGAGTTAAACCCAAATCTCATTTATCCACAGAATATCCTGTTCATCCTTGTGATGGTGCCCAGCAGCACTGCTTCTGACTCCTGGACTTGCAGGACTGCATCGCAATGCTGTTTTGATTGCTATCTGCTGTTCTCTCTCTCTCTTTTTTTTTTTTTTTTTTTTTTTTCTTGAGCAGTGCCCTTTAAGAGTGTCAAACTGAAGAGTGCTTATTGGAGACAAACATGGTTGCTAGGAGCAAGGAAGATGAGCCAAGTGGATGTACAGCGTAGTTCCTTTTTAGTGCCCTGGTAAAGACTGGGTTATTTTGGCCTTTTGTGCAAATTATTTGAGCGGCATAAATACCAGTTTTTATCAGATAGTGTTCAAAGCTCATTGGTTTTCAGTATAGATTTGTGTCAGCACAGGCCTTATTTAAATTTGGCTTTTTGGGTAAAATTTATCTCTCAGAAAACATCACTTTCTGTGGAGCTCTAAATCCTCTTGAATCATTGGTTCTGTAGGGCAGAGCTGTGCTTTTACATTGGCTGAGAAATCTCCGGGCACAACCACCTTGTTATATAAATAATAAATAAATGAATAAATCAGTTATCATCGCCTCTCACCTCTTAAATTGAGGTCAGAAAGAAAAGCCATTTGTGGGAGAAGCAGCAAGGGAAGTTGAAATGCCTGATGTCCCCATGGGGGAGCGCAACCTAAAGATCACGCTTGGCATTTAATTTAAAAAATATATAGCCAGTCCAAAATGAGTATCTGTCAAGCAGACAATTAACCATCTGATATGAGGAGCCTGACATTCAAAATGCTTCCATGCTAGCACGTGGCTTTCAAACCATGAGGCACCTCTGAAAGTAATTTGTCAACACCCTCACGTCCTCCCAGAGGAGAGTTATTAATCTGCGTGTCACCAGCATCTAGATGACATCAAAGTCCATGACAGTTGTGTTACCGCTGTGGTCCACCGGTGGGACATGGTACGTGCCAAAGAACCTAAATAAGGGGAACAAACGTTCTTGTAGGAATCATAGAATTGTTTAGGTTGGAAAAGCCCTTTAAGATCACCAAGCCCAACCATTCCTCTAACCCTGCCATCCCACCACTAAACCCTGGCCCTAAGCAGTATTCCCACAGTATTTTAAAAGTTTCTGTCCTTTCTCCTCTCCTGTTTAATTTCAGGATCTCTTCCCACAAACCCTCCTTTTATGAGTCTGTCTTTCTTGCACAAACAGAAGCATGGAAACGCTTTGTATTTGTGGATGTGGGACTCCTTCAAATCCTCAGGGCAAGTTATTGCCTAGTGGAAGTAGTATTTTAATATTTTTGATATTATAAACACAAAGTAGCTGTAGAGTTTGTGGCCGCCAAGCTGAATATTAGTTTACTTATCGTATAAAGCACCCGTGCTTACCTACTCGAGGTACTTTCTGCCTTGCGAGGCGCTGCAATACGCTCCTTAGGGTGTGCAGGCAGGACTTGATGCTCAGTAACGCAGGACTGGAGGGGAGCCCCATCAGGAGAACAGCACCAAAATGTTCTGAATCCCAAAAAGCAGATATGGTCCCACCAGAATTGATGGGACCAGCAAATTAGATTTGGGAAGATGGGAAAGACCACTAGATGTGTTCTTGATACAGTTTTATCATGTACAGACGTACAGGCTCTGACTTGAAATTCATCAACTTGACCTCCCAGAGAACTTTAAAGAATGGGTGTGAATGCGGGTTGTGCCTTTTGTGAAATGTCCTGTAAACATTTGTTCCAGTACATTTGATTCTCAATTTACAATGAAGAAGGATTCATTCATCTGCAGAGAGATTGCTTAATGGCCTCTATACAGCCAGAACTTTTATTAATATAATAGTGTCAGATTTCATTTGAAGGGCATTCAGAGCTGCTAAGCAGCTGAAGAAGTGGCATTTTAAATAAAATTGTATCTCTGTCCTTATGGCAAATGTTAAATTTTGTAGTGACTTTTCTGTCATTTGCAACTCCCGTGAAATGGCCAGAGACAGGCTTTACAGGACAGTGCAGCTTCTTTCATTTGTTTGGCCTTTAATGTTTATAAAATATATGCATCAGTGCTTTTTATATGTGCTAGTGGGACGCTAGGTGTTTTCCCCTCCTGTGAAAAAGAATCCCTGGCAGAGAAAAGATAATTAGTCTTGTTACAGCTTGACACGTGTGGTGAATTGGGTGTAAGTATGTTGTGCTGTTTGCTCTACAAATTAAAATAATATCAAATATACATAATACACATGCATATAAAAATGTGTGCATGTGATTATACCTACATATAATATTCCAGGCTTGCCTTGGGGTGAGGCCAGGGCAAATCACGGCACTTGGCTGCTAGGAAAGCTCCTTCCCCCAGCTGTGAGGCTGGAAGGTTTTACGTGCCCAGAGGACATTTTTGATGATCCTTTCAGTGACTGCAACCAGTGTGGCCTTTTCCCAGTTACACCGTCATCGGTTTCTCATTTGGGGGCTTATAATGGGCCTCCCAACGAAATACAGGGCCGTGTCTTTGCAAATGGATTGCTGAGTTCCTGCAGAAAGCCCAGAAGATGAGCCGGGGGCGTTTGAAGAAATAATGCTCAGAAGTGTTCTTGCAGGTGGATGCTGGTCCTGGGGATCTTTGCATGACTGTGAAATCAGTTCCGTTCTCCGTGTCATCCCGGAGAACGCAGAGCTCCTGTGAATCTGTTGAATCAGCGTAACAACAGGAGGGTCTCGAGTAGCTTTTCTTCCTCTTCTTCCCCATTTCTGGCCCTACTCCTGCCCGTGTTTCAGTGCTGCTAATTCACAAGGTTACTGTCCTTCATCCAGGTCAGGGGCAGGGAGGAAAAAGCCACTAAACTTAATACATAAGGGACTAATATTACCTGTAGCATCTTCAGCCTTCCTTGGTCTCTTGTCTCAGATGGCATGGAATTAAATAGTTGCTATTAAAGATTAATAAGGGTTCACAGATGGTTATCAAGTGTTTATAATTGTATTAGAGAGAAAATCTTCAGTGTCGTTTCCAATATTTTTGTGGTACTGTGACGAAGTATTTAATTTCCATCAGTAGCAGAATATTCCATTAAACAAGTCTGGCAAACGCTCAGAGAATTGGCTCTTTTAAGTAGGGACTTGTACACGCAGAACTTTTCTTCTTTCCAGTAGGAAGAATAGGAAGAATAATAGGACGGTGTTTCAGGATCTCAGTGGGAAGGGTTTGGGAAGAATTTATTGTGGAGTTTTATAGGCATGATCAGATTAAACAAATAATGTGAGTAAATAGATTGGAAACTAGTAAAAAGGACGGGGCTCTATGCCATCCGTGTTTGTCTCTGTGCCATGAAGGTAGAGACCCAAAACATGGGCCTGATTCCCAAAGTTATTTTAAAATAGAACTTACTCTTCTCTGCGCTCAGTCTCACCACCACAACCAAGCACAGAGTTCGTGTGGTACAGGTAGCGTGTTCGTGTACATCTATTTTATAATCTTAATTATCCATCTCTGCCCTCTCCTGCTTTATAGGTTCTGTGTGGTGAATTTTCTAGAAGGTAATGCCTGCCGTACGTTGAACCTAAACGGCCTGGCGGGGTCTTGGTGTGGATGAAGGCCAGGAGTTTGGAAGGGCGCATAGTCAAATCTTGTTACCTACCTAATGGCAGGAGGAGCTGTGTCCTTGGGCAGCCCTGTGCTACTGGTAGCATTTGAGACATTCAGAAAATTTGCTTCTCAAAAGGAAACCAGATTTCAGATGAGAAATCTAGGAGGAATTGCCATAAACCTGAGGACTTGTGTAGTAAATTCATTTGTAATCCAAAGTGCTGATAAAGATGTAAATTCAATCTCATCGTTTTCAAGTCTTTAAACTGGGAAGGTGTGCATTTTGATAAGCTGCTTCTTTTAGCTGTGGTGTAGAAAGGTGAGTACTGCGTCCAGCTCTGGAGCCCTCAGCACCAGAAGGACATGGACCTGTTGGAGCGGGGCCAGAGGAGGGCTACTAAAATGATGCGAGGGCTACTAAAATGATCCGAGGGCTGGAGCCCCTCTGCTCTGAGGCCAGGCTGGGAGAGTTGAGGGTGTTCAGCCTGGAGAAGAGAAGGCTGCAGGCAGAGCTGAGTGCGGCCGCTCAGGGCTTCAAGGGGGCCCAGAGGGAAGGGGGGGACAAGCTTTTTAGTAGGGCCAGCTGGGACAGGCCAAGGGGGGATGGCTTTAAACTGCTGGAGGCCCCATCCCTGGGACCATTCCAGGCCAGGTTGGCCGGGGCTGTGAGCAACCTGATGTGGTTCAAGGTGTCCCTGCTCCTGCAGGGGGGTTGGGCTGAGTGACCTCTGGGGGTCCCTTCCCACCCAAAACGTTCTATGATTCTGTGATTGACTGTGTTATTACCCTTCCTTTCATTCCATCCTCTGATGGCATCAGACGAAATGCTGGCCAATGCTGTGTGGTGGCATTAGGCTCAAGCTGCTCTGGGATGATTTGTTTAAAATGGTTTTGTACAACTGCAGCATTGCCAAACCCAAACATGAGAAATCCCGAGGAAAGCCTTATTGTGCCTTTTTCAAAATCATGACGTTGATTTTAAAAAATACAGATTTTTTTTTTTTTTTTTTTTTTAGTTTATCTCTTGTTTTTGAGTTGCACAGTTGGGTTTTCTCTGCAACCAGCAGGTTTAAACTTTCAGTTAAGTGGCAAACTTGTCATGTGGTGGAGCTAGGGTTGTGAGAAACGGGCCAAATCTTGGCACTCTTGATATACAAAGGAGAAACGGAAGAGCCTGAGCAACAAATTTTCAGGTTTACAAAAATCGCATTCGTTTGAACACATGCGTTGCAAAGGTGTAAGTCTCCCATCTGAGCTGGCATTGCAGCTCTGCGATCTCAATCATGGTATTTTCATGCAAATTTTTTCATATATGTATAGCTTTCAGCATGTAGGCATATTTTTTCTTGCCTCCTTAGGGACAGCCTACTGTCAGTTGGTGATGTTGACGGTGGGAATTTCACATGGAACCATTTAGCAGCATTAGCCTGAGGCATTACGACTTTTGGTTTTGAGGCCCATGTTCTCTGGGGTGTTTTTTTTTTTTTTTATTAGAGCAGCAATGTGATCACAAAGGGAGGTATAAAATTATATGGGGTATAATTTTGTAACCCAGTCATGCTATTACTGTGAGTGTTAATTACTTCATTCTTAACCCCCGTGTAGCGTACATAGGAGAGTTAAACGCTTTGGCCCAGCCACTTGGCTCATGGCAAACAGCACGCAGGGGTTTCAGAACTGCAGATCTTGAGTTGAAGCAAAGGAGCTTTCTTAAATGCCTTTCACCCTGCTTGTTTTATTCAAACCATACATAAACCTGCACGGTTAACATCTCGTGAAACCAGTCCTGCTCTCTATGCAGTGTTGGTTATCAAAACGCTTACCCTAGGTAAATAAACGGCGATCTGTTAATAAAGCAAAAGCCTGCCCGAAGCTCATCTTTAATGAATCCAGAATGGACAATACCAGACCTTCAACAGGCCTTTGGTACTGCAGGTCTGAGCCATAATCCCCGCAAAGGCACAGATACATCGCTTGCAGGTGCAATATATGTTGGTGCGCTCTGGCTGTAACAGCAGAACTGTGTTAAGGATAGGCCGAGAAGCTTTTCTGAATACTTTTTAAATTTTTATTTTGAGCCTCTGATCTCTCTGCAGGCTTGAAATCTACTTCATCGGGTATTTGAAAGACTACTCCTTATCTGAAGAAAAGTTTACCTTGATAAAAATGAGACCGATTTGAGTACATCCCTGCAGGATTGGGGCGGGTGATCCTATCAGATAGGATCAGTAAGAACTGTGAGAGGCTGATGGCTCAGGCCTTGGGATGTGGCTAAGATAGGGAAACAGCTCTGTTTTAGGCCAAACATGCAGTGACAACTAAGGAATCAAATTTGTATAGTTATTCAAGACCAGGTTGGACGGGGCTGTGAGCAACCTGATGTGGTTCAAGGTGTCCCTGCTCCCTGCAGGGGGGTTGGGCTGGGTGACCTTTGGGGGTCCCTTCCCACCCAAAGCATTCAGTGATTCTGTGATTCTTACAAGGCTAATGTTGTTTGCCTGGGCAATATAAGCAGTTTTTTGAAATGGGCTGAAACTTACTCCTCTGTGTTTTTCTGTGTTTTGGGACTTGCAAATTGTGCAGTGATTATCCAAAATTATCCATTGATTGGTTAGGAGGCGCAGATTTCTCTCCGCCAGATTTATGCTCTTGTCCTGCTTGTATAATGAGGAAGTAAGAGAAACTTAGAAGTCTGCAAGATTTCTGGATTTATAAAAGCATTTATGTTGTCATATGAGCTACATAACTGGCTGTATGTGCGATTATCCAGAAACTGTCACTGACTATCAAACCTCTCTGTCCTTCTTTCCAGAATGATGAAGTCCTCTGTCCATACAGAAGAAGATGACTTTGTGCCAGAGCTTCAGAGAAGCATCCATCCCAGAGAGAGGCCAGACTGGGAGGAGACTCTCAGCGCAATGGTAAAAGACCTCTCTGCATTTTCTGTGTGTGTTATTTTTGGTTCTGAACGCTCTACTCTTATATTCTAGTTACGCATTGATTTATATTCCCCGGGTTTCAGGTTTTTAAATGGATTAAGTACTTTCAACAAGACCAAAATACTTTCCTTCCTCTGGCAGTTTGTCAAGGAGAGAGTGAAAGAGCATGCAGAAGGCTTCTGCCCTATTAATATGTGCCCCAAAGCAGGTCTGGTAAGCAATTAAAAGGTCCATAATGTCACAACGATTTTCAGTCTGCATTAACCTCTTTTTCAGCGAGACTTTTGAGCACGAAGGGAACTTCGTACTTGTAAAAACATGCTCTTTGAAGCATGCAGCATTGTGGAAGAATAAGATTTTAGCAAAATGCTGGCTAAGTCTACAGAAATAAAACCTCAGCCTGAAAGCTAACTTGCCGTCAGAGGGAACAGAATTGCAGAAAAGCCACCACAAAAGTGTTGTTCTCATGCTTCCAGAAGACACGACAAGTGGGCAGCGGGCCACAGGCCACTGTATTACCTTGATATATTTGTTTTCTTTCTAAATGGATGAGTAAAGTACTGCAGTTCCACTTCCCCAACTCTCTCTAGCATTTGCTGAGTCTGGAAGGTCAGATGTTGTTTTATTAGCAGCTGAATAGGGCAATCTGATTCGGTGGTTTTGTGAAGTTATCTTACCTGACAGAAGCTTGCCCTGCCTTGTTTCAGTATAGGGAGTTGTATCTTGCTTGTTATTTTCAGATTTGCTAAATTAGCGTATTAAGCCGAAGAGGAAATTGCCTTCTGTGACAGAGCTGGGGTAGGGGGAAGGTCTGAATATTCCAGGACAGGAGTGGCGCTCTTGAGGAGCGGGCAGTCCCCCAGTATGGCTGCGATGACTGACTGTGATGTGGCACCAGGGACAATTTTTCCCTCTCAATGGATCACGTGGCGGTGGCATGGAAAAGCTGTCTGTTCTCTGCTCCTGGGCTGCCAGCACCGCAGCAGCAGCGCGAGGGGGGGGCTGGATTTAGCTGTCCCGTGTGGGGCTGAGGGGTATTCATCCCAGTGGATTATTTGAAGTTTAAAGCACCTGGCTGGGTCACGTGAAATAGATTTTTGGATTAGCTGTTCTTCATACAACGTTCAGAACATATGTGGGTAACAAACTCCCTACGAGCCAGGTATTTATTTTAAACATTTTCATTTTAAAAATTGTATTTTTAAGCAAAGGTAGGATCTATGTTCTACTCTTTTAAAAGCACCACCATCAAACCCCATATAATACAGTGATAATATTTTGTTCCAAACTTTATTTTCAAGCCAAAGAAACCAACCCAAAACATAGACTTCACCAGCGTTTTTGTCTGCTGGTATTTTCTGTGCTTGTCTCTTTGCTTGACTCCTTGCTTCTCCACTGCTAATTCTGACTTTTTGCAGTTGTCACTTCCTAAGTAGGTTTTTTTTTTTTCTCATGTGCGGACGTTTTTTCCTTCTCTCCACCTTGGCCAGCAGCTCACGCTGGGGCCGCCCGTGTCTGTTCTCATCAGCATTACTCAGCCTCAGCGCCTGCTGCTGCTTTACACCCTAGAGCCAGGAGCCTTGTGTAAATCAGGGGCCTTGTGTAAATCACGGTTCGACACCGTGCTGCCTGTAACCTCAAGATGTGTCTCAGGAATGTGAGTGTAATTCAGTGTCTCCACCTGCAACACAAGGTAGCTGGCACACCTCATTTGGTATTGGTTTTTTCCATTGTTGATTTACAGCGAAGGCAAGGATCACCCGTTCCGGCTTGATATTTTCCCTGTTCTCATCAAGGCTGTTGGGCTCACGGACGTGTTCAGTGTTCAGCTCTACGCTGCAGCCTAGATGTTATGCATAATGTTCCTCTCTGTGTGCTAACGATTAATTCACTTTTTAGAACACATCCTCTTGCACAGCTCTGTGTCAGCAATATAAAAACTGGAGAGTCCAGGTGGCTATAAAAAAAGAGATTTAGAGGACGATAAACAAGACAACTCCCGTCTAAGATTCGCTGCACAATGATTTGGCATGGCGAAGCACAGGGCTACATGTAAAGCTACTGAACCTGTGTTTATAAAGGCTTGGGTTTGTGCTTACAGCGTTAGTTTGACCTCATGGTCCTTTGAATACATTGTAGATGGGCAGAAAAAACTCACTCGCTCGTGTTTACTGTGTTGAGTGAATCAGGTTTCCACTTTCAACCTCTGCCTTATGTCTAAGTCAGAAGGTAATATTTACAAGATGTAAATATTTACAGGACAGCGTTTGACACTGTCGCTTTCAATTCTCTGTTTAATGAGTGCATCTACTATTCTTTTTCCTGAGATTTTTTTTCCGTGCTCTTTTCCTTTGTTTTGCATTTTTAGCAGCCTCTGGTTTAGCCTTTTCCCAGAGCATGCTGCTTACATGGTATGTGAGTTTCTCATAGTGGCACAATACATTTAATTTTTGGTTAGTTGTTTTAAGTTGCAGGCTTCAGGTTTTGTTGTTGCTTGCTATTTCAGCCTCTGGGGAGCGGAGGCTGCAGGGGCTCGGAGGAGTTGGACGTGGCTGTGGTGTTTTCTACTCTCCGTTGCCTGCCGTGGCAGGCAGCTGGAGACCCAACTGGGTGCGAGGCTTTGTCACTTTAAATGAATCTCACGTTCTGCCAGGTGAGCAAATGCTGAGACCAGCAACACTACGGAGAGCTTGGGAAATTCGGGCACAGTCGACTGACCGGTGGTGATGATTCATTTGTCTCTTGAACTTCGCCTTTCTACATGGTTTTGTACTTTGGGAAAAGGCGATTTACGCATTTGCAGTTAGATGAATATATACAAGTCGTCCCTAGTCTCCCTGCCCCCTTTTATCCGCAATATATTTCAAAGTGCTTATTATTAATTTATATAAGTGCTTTGTTTCCAGAGCTTTTTCTCAACAAGAAATAAACTAAAGGTCTTTCTAAATGCATGGAGGTTGAACATCCTCTTAGACTGTAAATATACGGTAGGGCAGAAACTCTATTTTTAATATTTCTGTCATTGCCAGTTTATTCTGGGCACCTGAGTAGCTTTAGTCCTCTGATACTGCTTTTATCATCTTTTTTGCGTTTACTATTTGTACTTTCACCTACTTTTAAAAACTGCTCATTTATTGTTTGTAGTTTAGCAGAAAGGCAAGTGGTTTTGTACGGGAGACCTGGCTTGTTTGGGTACTTCTGGTGGTTCTTGAAGCTTCACAGTAGTTAGGAAATCGTGGGCTACAGATTTTGAGAACCAGGCTGAATGAGATGCAGCAGTAGATGGACAGACTTTACAGGAGCTGGATAATAAAAAAGCTTCCTGAGTAGTCCTCAAGGACTGCTGTATTTTCTAGCCCCCCCATATTCTGTATTTTTAGAATTTGGTCATATTAGATACACCGTTTTTCTCACTGTCTCAGTCTCCTGATCCCACCGGGCTGCTGGGTAACCTTCACACATGCCGGCTTTTTCTTTCTCTGTTCCAGTTTGGAAAATGCTATTGACTTTCTTTGTAGAACACGTCTGAGTTCTAGGATGAAAAGCTGTATTTGAGCCAACTGATACTGCAGTATATGGATTTTCTAACATTTCTCTGAGGTAGTAATGTTATTTTAAAGGAAGGGAGTATCTTTTTCCTTTAAGGTGCTCTATTACTACGTTAAGTGAAGTGAAGTTGCGAAAGAGAGCCTTTATATGATATTTCTCATACAAGCCTACAAAACAGCTGTCCTCAGCCTGTCATTAACTTCAGCATAAATTGATATTTGTACTTAATACTACGTTTGCCTTACGTTACTGACCATCTGACTTGCTCTCAGCACCTCTTCATGAGTTCAGTAAGTTGCAGTGTTTCAAAAGCCGTCTGCTAACAGCCTCTCCCCCAGCAGGCACTGGAGTTAAGGTAAATAGAATAGGATTTCTTTTGTGTGTGTATAGATGTGCGTTTCTGAAAAGGTTGGGTTTTTTCTCCAGCGTTTGCTGCTTCTTTCAGCTCTGGAAGCTTTCAAAATACGAGTCCCTAAAGCTGTGGCAGGTTTATTTACTGTGAGATTTTTTTTCTAGGCAAAAGAATACAGGTGAGCATCCTGACAGCGAGCGTCTGCAGGGGTTCATTTATGAGCAGGTTATGGCTGGAGGTGACCAAGAGTTCTTCACCTTGAGGAAATCAGCCCTTCCCACCCCACCGCACCTCTGGACAGTAGCTTCTAGACTCTAGAAGCGTGATTGTCCATAACAAGGTTGCTGAGATGATAGCTGTAGTATCCCCAAGTGTTACTGGTTTATAACCAGGAACCTCTAAATTACCGATGGGAAACAGTTATGAATTCTTGAATTTGCCAAATGCCTAAGTGAACAAAGCAGCAGGTAGTTGGCAGTTGGTACACAACATCTTTTTCAGCTTACGCTGGTGGAATTTTCTTAGGAAAAATACAAGCCTACAAACGTTGTAGAAAGGCACATGGGTTAGATCCTGTCCTATGAAGGCCCTGGAATAGTCTTAGTTCTTATGTCAGGTCAGATGGATTCAGAGAGCCGTAGTATTTTCAGCATTTGATACTAGATAAGGTAACGTACCATGGCTTGTGAAGGTAATAAAGGCTTTTTAATGAGACCTCAATATATCACTCCGTTAGATCTGGGGCATAAGTGAGGAGAAAGCTATTTTTAAATGCAACTTATAAAAGTGTGTAGAGATTAGTGAATTGTAAAGGCTTAAAGATAGATTTCACTCTCCTTAGTGTAGGGTTTGTTTCTCCTTTGCCCAGTGCTGCCCCAGATCTTGATAGTGTGGCTTCTGCAAGAACAGATGCAATAACTAGGAGTAGGTAGGGGTTCGTTTTAAATTATGTTTGTTTGGTTTTTAGTTCAAAAAACATCAGCGTGTTTCTGAGTATGACAGTCCTGACCCAAGCTAACATGAATACTTCCAGGAACTGTAGCAAAATCTGTAAGAACAAGGGAGCGTGTTGACTTGCTTG